GGAGAGACCCGGCCTAGCGCGGACAGCCCGCCCTCCTCGATTGACAGCTGCGCCCAACCAATGGAAAGTCACGCCTGACCACGTTACCTACTAGCTTCCCGGCCTCTTTGTAGCCCCACAAACCAATCAGAGAACGTCTAGCCGAGGGGGCGGTGCGAAAGGCGGGAGTAGGGCGGTACAAGCCCCTCTCCTGCCTGACCCGCTCGCGGCGGCCCCCGCTTTGTCTGCCAAAAGAGCGGGGCGCGGGCCTCGGACACCCGGGCACAACTGAGCAAACAAAGGACGCGCCCGGTGCAGCAGATGCCGGCACAAGTCTCTGCTCTAGTGGGCTGCGAATGCAACCTGGGGCGGGGAATCCGCTTTCTGGAGTGTCCCCGCCCTCCTGAACAATGGCTAGCCCGCGCGGCACCCGCACAAGGCCTCTTGGAGAGGAGGAGTGGTGAGGCTACAGCCCCAGGATGGGCGAGAATGTAGAGCTCAGGATTCCCTGTGCTGTCCAGAGGAGCTTGGCCCAGCTAGGTCTGCACTGTCCTTCCATTTCAGAGATGAGAAAACTGAGGCCCTTTCTCTGAGAGCATCCCTGACACAAGACCCACGTCCTCCTCAGGCACCTGCTGTGGGCCACGCTACACGTGAGATCCGGGAAGCTGTCTAGAGCAGAAGGTGCAAGCTTGTTGTGTGGGGTAGGCAGATTGACCCACATACTTCAAGCCTTGGGGAGAATAGGATTGCACGAGGTTGAACCTCAGCTTTTTGTCTCCCTGCTGAAGGGTTTTGTGGCCTGGGCACCATTTTCTCACCACTAAATGGAGACGATACAACCCATCCCACCCTCCTCACAGAGCTGTTGTGAGGATTAAGTAATGTACGTAAAGGGCTCAGCCTACTGTCTGGCCCACTGTTGTAAACCCTCATTAATGCTAACCACCCTTGGTGCACTGTGTCAGGACAAGCCTAGGGTTAGCAAGCAGCCAGAGGGCTCGGCCCTGTTGTGTCCCCAGAGCCTCCTGCCTGTTGCAAGGATTGGGGTGGGGCTGACAGCCCAGCTTGACCCTGGATAACATTAAAGCCCAGATAAAGCTAGAAATCAGGCAGCAGCCTTGCACCATCTGCCCAGGATGGAGCTAGGTCAGGCGCTACTGTCTGGGCTGAGTGGCTTCCAGAGGCAGTCAGGCAGGGCAAGTTTGTCATCTGACAGGTTTAATCCCAGCTTCATCACTAGCTCAGTCCTGGCCTCTACTGTGCGATGCCTCCCTTTGTACATTGTTTCCCATTAATCATTGGCCTCCAACCAGACCAGCAGAATGAGATTTGGGTGTGAACTTGTGTATGTTAAGAAAAGCATGCATTCATTTGCCTGCATGAATAGTGAGCAGGGAGAGGATCTGTATGTGCTTGCATACTAAAGCATAAACATGTTCATATAAGTCTATGTGTATAATAAATATATATGTGTGTGTGTGTGTGTGTGTGTGTGTGTGTGTGTGTGTGTGTCTAGGAACATGGAAGCCAGTGTCTATTTTCATGTGTCTTCATCTGTGCATGGGTACTGGTATGTGTTTTATGTGATTCATGTTTTTCCATTTGTGGTTATCTCTGAGTGTGTCTTGATAGCTCTGTGTCTGTAAGAGAGGGCAAGTGAGAAGGGTGTGTACGTTTTCTGGTTTCAAGACCAATATTTAGCAAACACTAAACAAGGTTTTATTTTTACTTCTCTTTAGGAAGGGGGTAGACATGACATGCCCCTTCCCTGTACTCTCTAGCTGATTCTTCTGGGCTCCCCACCTCCAACCAAAATACCACATCCTCTAAGAGACTTTTCTGAATTTCTGAGCAGAAATTAATCACTCCCTCCCCATTTCCCCACTGTCCTTTGTTTAGTCATTGATTACAGCTCTGATCTATCAATCTACCTCTTCCCTGCCTCTTTCCAGAAGGATTAAAGATAGTTTTTAGAAATATATGCAACAGGATAAATTGAACTGCATACATTGCTTTATTACTTCTCACAGGCATGCATCCACCTGTCTCTCCCATTAAGCTGTTTCTCAGTGTCCAGTAGGAGCAATACAATGTGATCCCTGATCCCTGCTGATTAAGTTGAAAAGAGATCCTGTGGTGCCCACAGGAAGAACCTGTGTCTTCAGAGTCAGACTGAGTCATGACCTTGGAGGTCCCCTCCTTGAGGCTGTTTCCCCTCTGACCCCCAGTTTCCTCATCTATAAAATGGGGCCAATAAATCTCTCACTTCATTGAGCTGAGGTTGCAAGAGAACATTTTTACAGAGCCCGACAACCAGATGTTGCTCACAGTCTGTGTAGGCTCATATTTCAGTCATATCACTGCTAATTTTGAGTCTTGTTGGCTGAAGGAGCAAAGCAGAAACCTCTGTCTCATAACCTTCCCATCAGGTGATATGCCCTGACACTTGCCCTACTAGATATTTCCAAATGATACCTAAAATTGCTTGGTTGGCCCTGAGGTGTGCTGTATCAGAGATTCTCTGGCAGTTGAGTAGAAAAGCTGACGCAGCTTCTTTGCCAGAAGAATCACAGTAAAGGACTAGAAAACCTTGCAGAGTGGTCCAGGCTAGCCCTACCTGGGTAGGAATCACCCACAATGGATGAGCTTCTCAGGTGGGATAATTAGCCCAGAATATATAGAGAAAATATTGAACTGTTTGGGAGATAACTTGAATGTGCCATTGTTGATTCAACGTTTAATTCTTCAATTGATTGTTCTTCTCTCTAAACCACAAGATGACTTTTTATTTCTTAGTTTAAGTTTTAAAATTGGAAATAACTATCCAATATTAGAGAAAGGGACTGTTGTATCTATTCAATTTAATTATGTCAATGTAAGGGTGGCTATCAAGACAATATAGCAAATAATAATAGATAACTGAGTCTTACTATTGCTATTAAATATGCAGAAGTTATTTTGTTTAATCCTTCAAACCCCACAAGGTAGGTACTATTATATTTCCTTGTGTTTGGGCTATTACAGTACTATAGATTGGATGGATTATAAACAACAAAAATAGGGCCAGAGATTTAGCTCAGTGGTTCCATCACCTGTCTCGCAAGCGCAAGGACCTGAGTTTGATCCCCCGTACAAAAATAAGTAAATAAATAAATAAATAAAAACAAAAAAATATATTTCTCACAGTTTTGGTAGCTAGGAAATCCAAGATCAAGGTGCCAGCAACTTTAGTGTCTGGTGAGGGTCATCTTCCTGGTTCAAAGATGGCTGTCCTTTTATTCTATCCTCTCCTGATAGAAGTAAGAGAGCTCTGGAGTCTCTTTTATAAGGACACTGATGGGCCGGGGATTTAGCTCAGCGGTTCAGTGGCCTGCCTTGCAAGCACAAGGACCCGAGTTCAATCCCCGGTACCAAAAAAAAAGTATAAGGACACTGATCCCATTCACAGTGGCACTACCCTCTCAATCTAATTACTTCCAAAAGGCCTCCTAATACCATCATATGGGGGAGGAGAGTTAGGATTTCAACACAGGAATTTTAGGAAAGCATAAACATTTACTCTATATAGCATAATCTCTACATTTTACAGATAAGGAGTCCAAGGCAGGAGAGGTTAAGCAACTTTTTTGAGGTCACTTAGTAAATATGAGAACCAGAATTCAAACTGAGGCTGGTGGGATTCATCTATCACCCTTAACTATAAAGGGAAAATGATTATAAGGTTAGGAAGAGAAGGTAAAACATTATATCTGGGACACTGTGTATAAAAATGTTGACAGGGACTTTTCCTATTGCCCCACAACTGCAGCCAGGGTCCAGAATTCTAAAGAGAGCTGGCAACCCACCCACGACAGCTGGAGCCAGAGGGCTTAGTGTGGGGCCTCAGAACAGCAGGGGTCAAAAAAGGCCTTGTTGGAGTCCATGAGCAGCCTGACCTTCCTCCTACAGGAAATGCAGATGCTGCAAAGCATCCAGCCTGACTCCTTTTTGTACTCAGCACCAACTCAATGGCAAATACACAGAAGCAGGTCAAGAATTGTTGGGCTAAAAGGAGTCTTATGATGTGGCAGGCACTGTTCCAAGAGTTTTGCATTCATGACCTATTTATTCCTCAGAGGTAGAGTGATCACCAGTGCCTGAAAGAAGAGAAAACTGAACTTCTGAGAGGTTTAGGAATTTTCCCAAGACCTGCATGATTCCAGCTCTTAAGTTCTTTTCTGTCAGTCTATTAATGTGGCCATTACTCATCGCACATGTATAAGGCCAGTGCACACATAGTGAAAGAAGGGACAGACACACACCAAATGTAACACTACTGCTAGAGTACCATTTAAGAAAACCTTTGGGTGTAAGAAAACATAATAGTATGATAAGAGGTGGCACATCAAGAGTACCTTCTCCCAGAAACTTTGCCCTTTCTAGTTGCATTGAAACAGCAATGCTGACATGAACTCTTCTCTTCTAGAGCCTGGCCGCCTATCATATGTGGATGCATGCAAGGCAAGCTCTGGCATCTTCTACAGACAACTCTAGGATTATCAGGACTACAGTTAAAACAAATCTGCCCAGGAAAGAGCAGTGAGAGACAACTCACAGAAAGGGAAACGCAAATAATTAAGAAGCACGATATATATAAGCAGCTAAAGTAATCAAAGAATTGCAAATCAAGGCAGTGAGTTGTATTTTTTTCCCATCCTCTTGATTTGCATAGAATCAGAATATTTTAAAACTGGTAATACTTGTTACTGGCCAGGGAGTGTCTCTTGCTTTTGGTAGGAATATAAAGGTAGATAGGATACCTTTCCAGGAAGCCTTAAAATTGTTTATACTCCTCTTTGACTTATAATGTCCATTTTAAAGTATCTATTTAAGGGAAATAATCAGACCTCCATATTTATGTACGAAAGTGTTCATGTTATGTATAATAATGAAAATTTTAGAGTCTAAATAGTTAACAGTAAGGACGGGGCCTGAGAAGGTATCTCAGTGGTAGAGCACCTACCTAGCATGTGCAAAGCCTAGGGTTTAATTCCCAGCACCACATAAATAAATAAATAAATAAATAAATAAATAAATAAATAAAAAGGAGGGAGGTTCCTTAAGTACTTGGTATTCTCTGATGTTTCTGTGTTGAAATACATCTATAAAACATTCATGAAGAAAATTTTGGCAGCGTAAAATGATGAAAATATAGTTTACATGACTGTGCTATAATCCCAAGTCATGTAAAAGGACAATATAATATCCAAGATCCAATCAAAATATTAACAGTATTTGTTTCTGAGTGACTGCATTATGGATATTTATTTTTCTCCTTTGTACTTTTTAGCATTTTCCAAATATTTGTATAATGAACATATATCAATCTCAAAATTACTAATAAACAACACTAGAATTCGTTTGAATGTAGAGCTGTGTCTGACAACCACTCCTGATCCAACCCACTCCCTGGTATCCCTTCTTAAGATGATAAGGAGAAAAAAAGACCAAGTCAAGCCCCCATTAATTGCAAGGGATCACCTGCAAATGAAGCCAAATGTTGAAATCCTCCTCTGAGGTCCTTCTCATGCTAAAATAAGCTCTGAAAAGCATTTGCTGCAGTTCTTGGAGATATCCTGAAGGATGTCATTCACAGTGGGCACCAAGTCAAGCCCTTGTTCGTCATCGGCATTGGCTGCAGAGCAAAGAATCTGAATCATTTTGGGGAGGAATGGGGCCAGAGTTTCACAAATAACTCTTCCCCTGAGGTTGCTATAATGGTAGTGAAGGGCACAGGATTACTCACAGGTGCAAAGCAAACAGTACTTTCGCAGCCATTACCTCACTTGAGCATTGCGACAATCCAAGAAGGAAGCTGGTAGTGACAACAGTAACAGTGATAATAACAATAGTAACCATCACTAACATTTTCTGAGCACTTATTATGTGCCAAGCATTGATTTCAGGCACTGCATACACATTATCCCTTTAACCTTGTACTATGAAGTGAAGGAGTGACTATCCCCACTTTCTAAGCAAACATATTGTAATTTCAAGTAGTCAAATACCTTGCCCAAGGTTACTAAGCTGTCAAATGGAAGAATTTCAGAGCCCAGGTCCAGAGTGATTTCCACAACTTACTCTACTTTCTTCACTTTATTTTTTATTAGGAGAGACAGTAATTGAGCCATAAAGAATACTGGTGTGAATCCTGATCATTCTGCGTAACACTGGTTAAGTTACTTCAGCTCTGGGTCTCAGTTCCTCCTCTGTGGAATGGGAATCATCGTATTTATCAAACAGGGCTCAAGGTCAAACAAAGTGATGTATATAAAGCACTGAGCAAAAGTCTGCTCCACAGTAAGAACTCAAAAAATCATTGGTACAGGGCCGGGGATTTAGCTCAGTGGTTCTGCTGCCTGCCTTGCAAGCACAAGGACCCGAGTTCAATCCCCGGTACAAAAACAAACAAAAAAAATTGGTACATATCTGATTTTCCTAAACCCACCTTTCCATATAGTAGGTCAAGGCCAAGCGGGTACAGTGTCTGTGGGATTCCACATCCAGGAATTCTAGATTCTCAGAGCAGTCATTCCCCCTGCCTTCTGTACCCTCAGCCCCTTGAAGACTCTCCTTCACGGTTGCATATTCCTGTCCGAGGGCAGCATCAGAACTGTGAGTTTGCTTGGCAGGAGTCAACCCTGGACTCCCTTCCTCCTGAGGTTTCCAGAGAAATCCTTGGGTCTTTAGGACTCTGAAGCCCTTTGGTGGACTAGTTTAAGAAAGCCAGGTCAATTTCATGCTGGCTTATGAGGACTAGATGGGAAGAAAACTCAGTTTTACAGGAGCAAATACTTCTTAAAAGGTCACAAAAAGAGCACCTATGAGCGGGAGGGAGACTTAGGCATCAGCCCCTGCAAATAAATCCTTGCACAGATGATAAGCCAAGACCCACAAAAGGAAGAGAACTTGACAAGATCTCATATCACAAATTAGCAACAGAGCCAGGGTCAGATCTTAGGCTCTGACTCCCAGGTTGCTATCAGACTGAAGCAGACCACTGCTTACCTAGGAGGTCATTAAAGGGCCAGTGAAGGCCTCAAGTCTCACAGCTGGACACCAAGTGGCCTTCCCCACCCTCTGACTTCTGATCAAGGGCTCTGTGTCACCACGTTCCCTCTCCACGAGCTTTGCTCTTAGAATCATAGAAATGGCACCCACTGCCAGCTTATAATCCATGACCGAGGCAGAACTCTAATGACAATGACCAGGGTCTACTGTTAGACAACAGTGGGGGCTTTGGGAATGATGAAAATCTCCCAAATTAGGCCAATACTGGTGTAAAGGAACCAGAAATATCTTTCTTGTCCTGTCAGGCCTAAATTAGAAAAACTGCTAAAGAGGGTCCTGGGAGATCAGGCCTCCTCTCGGCACTATGGGTCTTGTCTCTTTTCTCAAACAATTACTCCACTGTTCTTACAGGGTTCATTGGGCATGTGCAATGCCTCAAATGCAGTCTGGAATTTGGAATTGGATACAATTCTTAGGCACATACTGGCAGATCTACCTCTTTAAGAGGCAGGAGCATTGACTCTCTGCCATCGGGTCCCACACTGGGAAATTAGTCTATGAATCAAACCCAACTGGGTTCCCAGCCCAGAGTGTATCTCCTTTCAAGGTGAAATGCTTTGTTGGGAAATGTCAATCATCTTGTGAGCCTGACTGCACCACTTCCAGCCTTTTATAGCAAGAATCAACCTCTCTAAGTTCCATTTTGTCACCTGTAAAATGTGCATCTGATACTGTGTTCTGGGAGGACCCATTCATTCATTCAGGAAAAATGTATTAGGCATTGATCGGGAGACATGCTACTGAACAGCAGAGCAGAAAGAGGGACCTTGTACTCATGGTATTTCCAGTCCAGCGAGTGAGAGGATCAATTAATAGACGGGAAGTCAAGGTATTTATAAATTAAGATAATCACCACACAGAGGACATTAAAAGTGTTAGGACACAGAGTAACTGAGAGATATCCTCTTAGGGTGGTCACAGAAAGCTTCTCTGGATGTAACAGTCTGGTTGAAATCAGAAGGAGCCAACTCCGCAACAACCAGAAGGAACTGCAATTGCAAGGTGTGGAGGAGAAAAAGGAGCAGAAAGAAGATGAGAATGAGTGAAGCACAGTAAGAGAAGGAGAGAGGGTATACGCTGGATTCTTCGGGGCTCTGTAGCCATACCAGAAGACTGGATTTTATTCTTAGAGCAATGAGGGGTTAAGGCAGAGCTTGAAGCAGAGGGGGATGAGCATGGATAACAGAGCAGCAAAAGCAGAAAGTGAGCAGGCTGAGCTGTCCAGATGTGAGAAGATGGTGGCTTGGTCTGCCCTGGAGGCAGAGTTGGGATATGTTTTAGAAGCGGGGTTTGTCAAGACTTGCTGTTGGATTGGGTATCAGGTGAGGGAGAGAAATGGAGAATGACTCCTTGATTTAGAATCAATGGGATAATTCATGCATTCATTCAACAAACATCATAAGCACAAACATCCGCCTGATTCGATGGTTGGTGCTGAAGAGAAAGGTTACAGCTTCGTCAGGAAATAGGCAAATACAATGCACTTAAATATGTGCGGTAAATGTTAGAGAACAGCTAACTCTGCTGGAGGGAGAAGATTGCCTAGGGCAGGGGAAGTTGAGCTGAATCTTAAAGGAGAAGCAAGAATAAGGAAAACGTCATTGGAGTCATGGAATGGATCTCTGAAATAAGGACAGTCTAGGAGTAGGAGCTTATATTTGTTAAACCCGAACAATTTTTAGGCACTGTCAGAAGCACAGTCACTTAGTTCTCACACGAGGATCCTATGAAGCAATTTATCATCCCCACTTCATGGATGAGGCAACTCAGGGAGAGTTAACTTCTGTTACATAGTTTGTACAATTCATAAGAGCAAAGCCAGGCTGCAATCCCACATCCTTTGGCTCTAACCACCACACTGAACTAACTGCCTGTCTGTGGGAGACCACTGCACATTCAAGGACTGGCAACAAGTGTAGGAGGTGCAGGTGTAGGAAGGTGGGAGTTGATGAGAGGTGAGATAAACAACATGCACTGTCCCAAGTTGACTATCACCACTATTATTAAATAACTGTCTTTCCCCTCTGTGAGAGGAGGATTGTTGGCCTTGAAGGACAGTGGCTGCTTGAGAGGCCTGCCCAGAAACAGGGGATCCCAGAGGAGCATGGGGAGCAGGGAACCTGAGCCTGAGTTGGGAAGCAGAGATGTGGGCTCCAGGCCAGTTCTGCCTCTCACTTTTACATGGCCTTTGGTGAGTCACTTCCCCAGCCTGAGCTTTACTTTCCAGTCTCTAACACGGAGAGAAGAATGAAGATTCCAAGGGCTTTTCCAGCCTTCTCAACATGAATAATTGCTGCTTCTGTTGGTGTTTTGCTTCTCTAGACTGGAATGTCTGCCCAGGGCTACTTACTAAAGCAAAATATCACCTTGGATGGTAGTGGCATCATCTAGAAAGTAAGACCTGTGCTAGATGGCAAGCCTATGGCTTGTATCCCCTGAGTTCACAGGTCCCCTGGTCAAAAATGCCTATCTTTCCTGTCCCTGCCAGGACACTGGTTTCAAATGCCTTGAATCAAGTCCATTTCTATCCATTCTAACCTCCAGGGGGTCTGAGTAGTAAAAGCATTCTAGAACTTTTACTCCTGAGGATGCAGACAGAGAATGCAGAGACAGGTGACATCCTGGTGGAGCCCACTTTGAGTTTCTTGTCGAGCCAAAACCTCTGGGATATTTTACATGTGTGGAGCCAATCTCCATTTTGAAACATCGGTTTCCATCCCAGTGTTCAAGAATATGAAGTGTTCATGTGGGGTGTAGCATTGGCTCTTCCTCCTCGTGCCTTAGGATCTGCAGAGAGCCCAGACTCATGGACCTGCAAGGGGCCCCTTCACACCAAAGTCATACAAACCAAACCCTTCTTGCTAATACCGAACTCTGTGAACAGTAAGGCACTTTCACACATTATTAATCCACATATTATCCCTTCTGCACTTCATTAAATTCCCAGACTAGTTTGGACAGGGGTAGGGCTGCCAGGTAAAATGCAAAATGCCCAGATACATTTGAATTTCAGATAAACAGTAAATAATTCTTAGTATCAGTGTATCCCAAATACTGCATGAGACATCATTTTGTTGAAGTTTTCATCCATTGTTTCAAATTGGAATTCAAATTGAACTAGGTATCCCATGATTTTATGTGCCAAATCTGGCACATTAAGACCAAGATCATTAATCTTATCTTGCAGAAGTGAAGTTCACAGTGGTAAAATGATTTCTCCTAACTCCTAAGTTCAGGAAACATGTCTGATATTTCTGTTAAGATATCTATTTGCTTTTACTCTTTAAACATGAGAAGTATATTCCTTTAAAGACAGTGTATCCATCCCTTTGCCTTATGAATCATGAAAAGCCTATTCCTTTTTGAATCAATATATATATATATATAT